GAGGGAACTCGAGACTCTGACCCTAGCTATCGAATGCCACCATCAGAAATCGGATCGGACGATCTGTGTAGAAAAAATAGGGGGACTCAAAATTTCAATCCGTGATTTGACCTTAAAGGTCAAATATTTTTAATAAGGTATATATTAGGGAATTCGAGATTCTGACCCTAGCTATCGAATGCGACTTTCAGAAATCGGATCGGACGATCGGTGTAGAAAAAATCGGGGGACTCAAAATTTCAATCCGTGATGTGACCTTTAAGGTCGAATATCCGTGATTTGACCTTTAAGGTCAAATATTTTTAATAAGTTATATATATATGGGAACTCGAGATTCTGACCCTAGCTATCGAATGCGACCATCAGAAATCGGATCGGACGATCTGTGTAGAAAAAATAGGGTTACTCAAAATTTCAATCCATGATTTGACCTTTAAGGTCAAATATTTTTAATAAGGTATATGTATAGGAACTCGAGATTCTGACCGTAGCTATCGAATGCGACCATCAGAAATTGGATCGGACGATCGGTGTAGAAAAAATAGGGGGACTCAAAATTTCAATCCGTGATTTGACCTTTAAGGTCAAATATTTTTAATAAGGTATATATTAGGGAACTCGAGATTTTGACCTTAGCTATAGAAGGCGACCATCAGAAATTGGATCGTACGATCGGTGTAGAAAAAATAGGGGGACTCAAAACTTCAATCCGTGATTTGACCTTTAAGGTCAAATATTTTTAATAAGGTATATATTAGGGAACTCGAGATTCTGACCCTAGCTATCGAATGCGACCATCAGAAATTAGATCGGACGATCGGTGTAGAAAAAATAGGGGACTTAAAATTTCAATCCGTGATTTGACCTTTAAGGTCAAATATTTTTAATAAGGTACATATTAAGGAACTCGAGATTCTGACCCTAGCTATCGAATGCGACCATCAGAAATTGGATCAGACGATCGGTGTAGAAAAAATAGGGGGACTCAAAATTTCAATCCGTGATTTGACCTTTAAGGTCAAATATTTTTAATAAGGTATATATTAGGGAATTCGAGTTTCTGATCCTAGCTTTCGAATGCGACCTTCAGAAATCGGATCGGACGATCGGTGTAGGAAAAATCGGGGACTCAATTTCAATCCGTGATTTGACCTTGAAGATGACCTTGAAATTTGAAATGAATACGATATTCGGAATCAGCGTCCCAAACTGCATCGGATAGGTTGGGTTTAGTTGAAATTCGGACTCGACGCTGAATCCGTCGCGGAATACGACGCTAACTTCACGCACGTTAATTGTGTGATATAATAAGAAAAGGCCAGGTAAATCATTCCTTATGGTAACAGGCCGTTGTGTCGGTTAAAAGTGTAATTTGTGTGACTAAAAATACGCGTTGCTACACTGGCGGATCCAGACTTGCGTTTTGGGGGGGGCCAACTCCTGCAAGTAACCAAACCTAGGGTAACCCCAAATCCTGTTTTCTCATCGGATTTAGGCCACTTATTTTTTCGTCACAGCCCTGAAACGATATTTAAAAAAAAAAATAAAAAAAATATAGAAATGGTAGCCCACCCAACCCGAGCCTAAATATTACTTTGAAAACACTTCAAATTGCTTTTGTCGACCAATTAGCCCGCTCCGGGTCGGTGCGTGGCGCAGCCTTCGCGGGCTGGGAGGTGTCGGTTGGACCCCCTGCCGTTCGGCCCCTGATTAAGCTAGAGCTCGCGGAAAAAAAACAGGCGTGTTGCCCGTGAGTGACGAGACGAAGCCGATGATACCCGATTTTAAGGTCCTTGGTCATTGGTTGACCTTCCAGGGCGGTGTTTCACGGTCGTGCTGACAGCCGCTGACAGCGCATTCCGCGAGCTACATAAGGTCAGCCTTCGGTAGTGTTGTGGGTATAGGCTTGTTGATGTCTCCATTGAAACCAAAAGTGCCATCAGCGTTGGCAGCGGCTGGCAGCGTGCCGTGAAACACTGCCCAGGTCAGGTCACAGACCCAAAAGACGGAAAAATTCGGACCTGTCAGAACCTCCTAAAGTAAGGCTGTAATACGTTTTTTTTTTTTTGTGCTGATCACAAATTTCATGTTAGTTTGGATCATAGATAATGTCTTCATGCGTTTAGACCATGTCGGAGCAGGTCAGGTCAGATCAACCAGTAGGGGTACTTATGGGCGTCCGTATAGCAGGTGTCCACTACCACTGGCAGCTACGTAACATGATACGAAGGCATCAAAACTACTTCGTAAATGTTCAAATGGCTGCAAAATGCTAAATTCAAAATCAGCTAAACGAAACTATCCTAGAAACATGTTAAACTCGGAAAAGTGCACCGAGGTCATCAAAGGTCAATGACCTGACTTGACCGTAAGGTGACATTGGCATCCGCCCTAATGCGTGGGAGCAACATCATATCACATGTTTGAGCGTTTTAAACCACGAAAAGACTATGAAAGCGCGGATAATGTGAGCCGACATACACCGAATCGCTATTCCGGCCAAACATGGCCTCCAACATGGCCAAACATATGGTGCGTTCGGAGAGGCACATTCCACGTGGAATCCGTTGAATATTCCATGCGCGCGGAATATTTCCGGAGATTAGCCGTTCAGAGAGATACGCCTCCGAACGAGGCACGGGGAATATTCCCGGGGACGGTGAATATTCCATGCTCTCCGAACGCACGGATAGTCTCGAGAAATAGGCCACAAGTCAAAGTTCACTTGGGTCAGGGTCATGAAATTTTCAGACTTTGTCACCATGAGGGTACTAAAGTTTCGTCGCGATCGGCTTCATGATACCTTACACGATAACTTCACACGTCGATCGAGAGTTAAAGCATGGATGAAGGAGAACCAGGGGATGAAGGTTCTTTCATCCATGGTTAAAGTGTGCAATAAGAACTTCTTGGGTGAAGACAAGACCAACACTTTTATCAAGCTCACAGATTTTTAATGATACGGTATTTTCTCCCTACCTACTACGCCCTTCTCACATTCATTTTTCTTAAGTGTTTTGGGGACAAAAAATATATGTTGTTCCCCTTTCAGGCTTGGGGGCATGACCCCGTGGCCCCCCTGGATCCGCTAGGCCGAAACTAACTAGGTCGTTTTCAAACGGTCTGATATTTCAGGTCATAGTTTGCAAACGGCCGGTGTTTTCAGGTAGTTTCATATGGCCTGACTGGGCCAGGCCGTTTGCAAACGGACCGAATTTTCATACGGCCTGTAACATATATTCAGATTTCGACATCTGTCGTAGCATCAAATGCTGATGTGGCGCACTCAAAAGCCGGAATTGGTCCTTGGATGCCGTAAGGACCCTTTTAAGAAATAAGTGACCCGACTGACCCTTAGAGATTGGCCTGAGCTGTGACCGAAATAAGTCTTTAACCGTTTCGCAGGAAGGGACAAAAAGGTCCCTCATATGCTTCTTGCACAATTACGAAACAAAACAAGTTTTTTCAACGAAAACTCAGTGAGTTTTCCTAAAAAATTTATTGCGCATATTCCGTGAATGAAAAGTTGCCGGGTCATGTCAGTTGCTATTCTACAGCGGTAAAGTTCACGTAACGTGCTTTAACGCGCGTAATTGCACGTTTTCGGCATTACCCCAGCCAGCCATACTTTCATTTGCAGGCCCATAACTTTTCAACGTGCTGTATAAATTTCAAATAGGCAGCACACTTATGCAAAGACGTGCTGAAGATTACCTGACCGAATTGGCCAGACAAACGGTAGCATAATGAGTAGGAAATACAGCTTCGAAGACGCATGTAGTACAAAGGAAACGTACCTTGAAAACGCTCTTGGCGCCCTCACAGCCGAAGTATTCCGAATGACGACTGGTAACAAACATGCGATAATTGGTAGTCACTTAAGCTTCAGAGCATCACTGACAGGTGGCAACCATGTCGTACGGTTTTCGAAATATCTCGAATTTCGGCTTTGCCCCAACTCCGGCATTGCCCCAACTTCCCCTATGGTGCCCCCGCGGACCTCGGGATGGAAATAGCCCCACCCGAGGCGAGGGACAGAAATGGGCCTCCGAGAGACCCCGAAAACGGTACCCTATTCCAATAGACCTTCTGGATGGTGCCCCCTTAGGAGACCTCTGGGTTGAAGGTCTCGTCGGTGACCTCCGTCATGAATTAAAAAAAAAAACTCCGTGATGTTGCCCTCCGGGAGGCCCAGGGGGGGGGGGGCATGGCCCCCATGGCCTCCCTCTGGATCCGCCACTGCATATCTACCTACCTGCATTCATGTTTTTTTTTTTATTCAAACATGTATTGCCCCTTCAATCATCAGACATGGCACCGCTTCATGCTTGAATCACATCTGATTGGCGCGCGCACATCACAAACAAAAACAACATTCACACTGGGGATGACGGCAGCACACGAAATTATTCGAAATCTGCCAGTCTCGCCTCAGGCTTATACAGGCTTATACACATGTTTGTTTCTGTAGTTACAACGTGCTGTAACCGAGATGTCACACCGACAGCTGTGCGCACCTGCATTCATGTTTGTTTCTTTTGTTTACGGCAAGCTCGGCCTGATCAGTTTGGACTATTGGGTGACAGGATAGGGACAGGGTGGAGACATTTGACTGAGTGAGTCACTGCCCGTAGACGGTACTCTCCAGTGGCGCAGACCGCTCCGTCCGGTGGGACGGGGCTGTCCTAATGGGACACTGGGACAGCCCACCCTGCCACTCAGTATGCCCCCCCCCTCCCCCAGAGAGGATGCAGTCAAATCAAGGGCTTGCCCACACCACTGGTTGTCTGGTTGGTCCGTCAGCCGTCAGCCCGGAGGACCTGGTAATGTTGCTTGTGAGGGAGAACGTGCCAAGCGGTATGCGGTGGTTGGATGGTTACATGCAGCGTCATCTGCACCATAATAATTTACGTAGGTGGCAGCACAAGCTACCAGTCTGGCAGACACCGTGCGTTTTAGCGACATCTTCTGAGTGACATGAGAAGCACTAGTCAAACAAAAGAATACCTGGGCGTCGGCCTTCTCCTGGCCTTGAGCACCAGTGACCAGCATGAGTGTATATGGATTGAAAGCCTCATCTTCCATCGGTCATAAAGCAAAATCGAAATCCGCCTATGTTTATATTCAAAACAACTTGAACACCTTTTGCGGATGACTGCATTTTGAAATACTTTTAATTTGACGTCATATGCTTCAACAATTTTTGTCAGTTGAGTAGTCAGCTGTTTTCGCAAGATGGCGATAGAGACAAATGCTGCGCAGTCACCCTCAGTTTGTTTGGTGAGCGCGGTGGGTGAGGTCGGTTCGCTAGTTGGTCGCTGATTTAATATTTATCAGTGCTCGAGTGGTGATATATGTGATGAGAATCGGGAGAAAAAGACTTCGGCCATTATTTGCCCTAAAAAATTGTCATTTGGACGAATAGATTGATGCGCAGTGCCAAAGGAAATCAATTTTGATCTTGAACGGGGTTTGTGCGGTTTGCTGCCCTTTTTTAATCGTTCTCGATTGTTATGGAGATTCAGCCCCAGTGTCTTCTGTGAATTCATCAAAGGTGAGCCTTTTATTTTCTATAGACGTTGTGTCTTGATAACACTGGGGCTGTGGTAAGTGCAATGCTGTCAATCAGTAACACTCCAACTCACAAACTCGTCTGCAGTGGGTGCTATACAGTATACAGGGACGTAGCCAGGGGGAAGGCATGGCCCTCCCTGAAGGCTGAAAGTAAAAGAAATAAAATGAAAAAGTAAATAATGATATAGTGGGCCAAATCTGATGAGTTTTCCTTTTGTGGAGGGGTACGACACTAGGCCGCTACCTGCGGCCCCTCCCTGAACAAAATCCTTTCTATGTGCCTGGTACCAGACATGTGCATGGATCCGAGTGCTGGATCTATGATCTCAGTGGATCTTGCAGTAAACTGCAGACTAGGATCCATGATCCCACCGGATCCGGCGTGAAAAATTTATCCTGGATCTATGATCTCATAGGATCTGACGATAAATCAAGAACGTGGATCTGTGATCTGAGTGGATCCCGCCACGCAAAAGATTTGGAACTAGGTTTACAAGTGTTTCTAAGCCAATTAGTGCCACAAAACTATGCATTATGACGTGCAATCACATAAAATCACTAAAACAGAATGTTTTTGAGCTGAAACAAGTGATTTTTGGGATTTCTGTGTTGACGTAAAATAAGCAAGGATCTATGATCTTGATGGATCCCAAGCAAAAAATTAGACTCGGATCTATGATCTGATCCCTACGGATCTCTCGGCAAATCAAAGAGCTGGATCTATGATCCCGTCGGATCCGAGATCAGGATCTGTGGGATCAGATCCCAGATCCATTTTTTCGGATCCATGCACATGTCTGCCTGGTACTATATGGCAACTTGTCTCTCTAAATTTCTGTGCATCTTAATTAAGTCTGTAAGCAAGTTCTTATGGGATGTCATAGTAACTTTTCACATTGTGTAGATGTTGTCCTAAGAGGCAGCTAAATGGAAATGTTTCAAGGCTTGAATGTTCTGATACTTTGTTTCCATTAAATGCAGAGTGCATGACATGTCAGTACAAATGACTTATCTCAGTTATGTCCTAGTCTAAGCCATCAAGGAATGATAACAAACTCAGTATTCTTATTACTTTTCCCAGGATTATTCAAACATCCTCTGCCCTGTAAATGTCACAGTTGCATTGTGGCCAACCAAATCAATTTATAGAACATAAGTAGAGGCCCGTTCTGTAGTTCATTTTTAGAGACGAGCCTTGGACTTGTGTTGGTGAGAGCTTTGTTTTTTTGTTGCTCTGTGTTAGTTATACCATCATTGGTATACCATTGGTAGATTCACAAGACTTCCAGCAGGGTCGGTCTGCAGTTGGTGGTAGCAGCTGCAGCTAGAAGAGTCATTTAAGTGGGGCTGGATGTATCTTGTTTTCATGGGTATGCTAAATTTTTACTCCTAAATTCTCCCCATTTCCCAGAATTGCCTAAACAGATGGTAGGGGCAGGCCCCTATGGAGTGAGCTGTGCCCAGCACAGGCTTCAGCTCTCCCAACTTGTTTATTCAAATGCCCAACCCAAATGTATGAAAAATCTTACCTTATAGGTACCTACTTAACAGCAACAGCTGCCTTTCACCTGGTAGAAGGTGCCCAGTGCCCACTGCCCAAGTCGAAGAATGCCAAGGGGCTACCTGCTCTAAGGGCTCACAGAAAAAAGTTTCCACTTACCAGGATGGTAGGTAAGTGGTAACATTACCTGCACCAAATGGCTTTGAAAAGACCTAAAAATTAGTAAATAGCTATGCTACATGTCTTAAAAATCAGGATGGTTCAAAGGTGAAACAGTGTAAAAGAAGATCAATTGTTAACTGGCAAGAGTTGTAAGTCTCATTTACCTGCTGTAGAGTGTTTTATTTGTTGTGTTTTGTCATGTTTGCGAAGAACATTTTACTCTGATAAGTCTATATTTAACCCATGTGGCAAGGTGATCTGAGAGACATGGTGGTGGGGTGCCCAGTAGGGTGTCTCGAAAAATAAAGTTGACATGCCTATAGTCCAAAACATTTGCAATCGAGTCTGCTGGTTTCGAAAATCGCAATAAAAAAATTATGAGCCATTGTCTTCAACAAGCGCAGTCGCGATTTCCAAAAGCTTGCACCTACTTTTCGGGCGTTGCAGTCTCCATTGGTTTTGCTTGGTGTTAGTGGCAGTAATAGTACGGTGGTTTTCACGAAAGTCTCAGGCAGAGTTCGTGGGCGAAGAGTTTAAGCGTAGTTTCAGGTCGGTAGTTAATTGACTTTATTTACATAGTGTAGACGTTGTCGATACACTTTTTAAAGTCACGTCTGTAATGCGAACTTCGCTTCAGCGCAGCTAAACTCTGGACAAACCACGTCCGGCACCAGCCCATAATCTCAGTCGGAACTCGGACCAGACACGCTAGCGCCACAGACGCCTAGTCGACACTCGAGCCCCTCGAGCCCAACCGCGGTAGCAGCACAGTGATAACTTTCGTCTGCTCTAACCATAATCATAGTACCCAAGCCACAACTGTGAGCCGCCTCGTGTCCAGAGCCTACTTGCCACTTGGCGAGGACGAGAACGACGCCCGCTGCCGCCTGGAGGCTTGATGAGTTTTACCTCGAGGGGCTGGGGCCCCCTGCAGTGGATTGAACTCTCGTGATGGTGTCGACTGTCGATGTATGCATTGGTGGTGGCCATGGCAAAGCCCGGTCCAAGTACCCGTAACCAGACCGTGGTCCTGGTCCTGAATGTCCACCTAGCAGACCTTCCTCCAGCTCCAACGGTCTCTTACACTGGCGGATCTGCAGGTAGGGGGCATTTTGGGCTATGCCCCCTCAAAGGTAAAGTGGCCTATTTGCCCCCCCCCCCCAAACGATAATGAAACATAGTTCAATCAGTGCGTGGCCCAGGAGCCGAGTTAAACAGGGGGTGTTTTACCACCTCCCGGCCCGCAAAGGTTGCGCCAAGCACCGACCCGGAGCGGGTTAACTGGTCGACAAAAGCAATGTGAAGTGTTTACAAAGTGATATATAAAGGCAATGGTCGGGTGGGTTACCATTTCTATATTTTTTCTTTTTAGTTAAAAAAAATGCTCATCGTGTCAGGGCTGTGACGAAAAATAAGTGGCCTAAATCCGATGAGAAAATAGGATTTGGGGGTACGTAGGTTTGGCTCCTGGCAGTGCTGCCAGATGGGGAAGGTTGTAATCCTCCATATCAGTTACAAAAATCCTCCAGATTCCTCCAAATCCTATTGGTAGATATAGAAAGGCGGTCTTGGACGCTGCGGGGGGCTATACCCCCAAAAAAGTTTCACCAAATTCTAAAAACTCATCGGATTTCGAATCCTTTCGCACTGCTGTGCAGCTTAAAAGATGCTTTTTCTTATAAAAGTTGTTGAGTTTTCGTTTTATCTTTTAAAAACAACGAAAATTTTCGTCGATTTCGGGTGCTGCAGGGGGGCCGGGGGCATTTGCCCCAAATGTCCCCCTTAGATCCGCCAGTAGTTTGGTACCCTCGCAAATATAGCTACAGACTGAGACATTCTGCAGTCTCACGGTGATAAAGGATTAAGGACGTGATATATCCTAACGGGTAGGGTGACGCTGGGCAGGAAAATGCCTTTTTAGTCTTGAATGTGTTTATTTTTCCATGAAATTGAATATAATAATCGGGCGACAAATCCTCCAGATTTTCCTCCAGAATCAAAAATCCTCCAAAAGCGAAATTTGTCCGCAAATAGAGTTCAAAATCCTCCAGATTTGCGGAAATCCTCCAAATCTGGCAGCACTGGCTCCTGCATGAGTTGCCCCCCAAAAAACGCAAATCCGGATTTGCTAGTCTTCCTCGCACGCAGCTTCCGTGGAGAAGCGATGTTCTCCGATGATTCCTGAAGCAGAGGAATGCTGCTATGAGCGCAAAATAGACTACGTTTCCATGGGCAAGGGGATTCGTATCCGGATCAGTGAAGCCGCTACTGATCCGGATGACTGGGGCCGTTTCCATGGGCAAAGCCGGTACCATGGATGAGAGATATATGGATGCGAGTCTCGGCGTCGGCCCCTTTGATGTCAGCGACCAGCGCGGCCACCTAGCGGCCAACAGATGAACTAAACCTAGCCACGACGCGCGGTGGGCCGCAGTGTAAAGCGTAATGACGGGGATATGTTCCGCGAATATTTTTAGGCGTTTTGGGTTGAAAAATGTTACAACATGGCACAAGTGATGCCCATATCTGTTTTCTGATCATTTACAAACCAAGTCCCAGTATAATACGGACGGGAGTTGGAAGAGGAATTGGATGGGCTTGGCTTGCATGCTCCCCCTCACCCGCCACTCAAAATCTGCAGTGGGCACAGAAAGCCCGAAAAGACGTTCAGTGATTGATCATGATCAATTAGTTTGTTCATTGTATCCTTTGACGATAATACACTTACGATACGCCAGTCAGCCCAGTCATTTGGACACGAGATTCGTCTCTCCGTCCGCGGAGAGCGCGCCTCACGCACCCACACACTGACACAAACGGCCCGAGCTCAGCCCACGCGCAGGACGGCGGACGCCCGATCCAGTGTGGAGTCCATACCGGTCCACGATCGTGCCACTCGGTTGCAGATGGTTCGCGAGACCGTCGCTGGGGCCTGGCGGAGTCCCGAATACAGCCACTGGAGCCGCGAGGCGCCGCAGTGCGGCCCAGCAACACGGGAGCGGTGCAGCACAGGGAAACGGGAGCGGCTGGCTCCCGTTTCATCTCTAATCACTGTCATCTCGCCCGCACACGGCGACTCTCGACGGCAGCGCGCATCACCCCATTACGCCGCACATCAGCCCAAGACGCCGCACCCCGACCGATGACGTCAGAAATCATCCCATGACACACCACACACGTGGGGACTGACAGCGGAGGTCGAACCGCCAGCGACACCCTCAGTACACTCGCATCTACATATACACAAGCATACACGCGCGCGCACACGTGTCAGCCTGCCGTCACGCTATATAGTATACACACATTTAGACACATGC